CCCTGCCAACTTCAGAAATGGCTCCGCTTGGCAGGTGCTTTTAAAAAGCCTCGAGCACGGGAGCTGCGCTTAAATCTCCCCACCCAGGGAGCTGCGCTGGTGGGTGCTCGGGGCGCGCAGGGCTCTGAGCACCCCTTTTCCCTGGCATCTGCGTCTCTGTCTCCAAGCATAAATGGGGTGAGTGGGGCAAATGGAAGTTACTCTTTACTTTAAACAAAGAAACAGAAACCCCCACGACGCCCCGGTGTGCACTCAGACTCCCAGTGGACCCCCTGCAAGGGAGAGAAATCTCCCCTTTCCCAGTCTGAGGGGGTTCGCGTTAAATCACCCACCGGAACGGTCCTGGGGGCCGTCGTGGAGCGGCATCTACTGGTAGCTTTTGGTATTTCTAACTAGACTCGGCCCCAAACTTGTCAGATCTGGTCTCCGTCCCTCTGCTATTTGTGGGTTGGGGTGCATAAGAGGAGGGTCCCAGAGAGGGGAGGGTGAGTGGTGGGAGAGACGGGGCGCATGTTTAGGCTAGGATTTGAGGAAGTTCTGCTGGGGCCTGTTCGTGCACACCCAGCCCCCTTAGAAATGTAGCCCCTCTGAATCATCCAGGAGCTTTGTCTGGGAAAGGGTGTGCCGAGAAAACACCAAGGAAGAGTAGAAGGCCTAAGGGAAACTTGGGGAAATTGCCAGAGTGGAGAAGCATGGTTTTGCCAGGCACTAGACTTCATGAAAATAACCCTGTGATCTGCTGTGATGATGTGGCCCTTGAACAATATTCTGACCCATTATTTTGCAGTTTGTGGGGCCCTTCCCACCAGGAAGGAATCACTTTCTGCAGAGATTTGGTCCTGGTGTTATCCACTATTTTAAAACTAATGACCTTTATTCTTTATAATGATACAATTAATACACCTGGAAAATACAGAGATGACTAAATAGGGAACAGAAATACCCATAATACAAACATAATGACTATGAACTATCATTCCTGTGTTTATATGTGCCCAGTCTTTTTTTCTAGTTATGTGTGTCTGTATATACATATAACTTTACAAAATTATGATCATCTAGTACACATCTTTGTATTTTTTCACTTAACATTATCAAAAGGATTTCCTCATATTCCTAAGCATTCTTTCAAAGAGCATCTTTTGACGGCATAGACTGACCTAGAAACGGACCATAACTTATCCAGTCTCCTGTTGTGAGGTGTGTATACTTTTTGCAGTGTCTTACTGGTACATAAACCTATGTGCACGTCTGATCATTGCTTTAGAACAAAATGCTAGATGTGGAATTACTGGGACATATACAGTCTCAACTTTTGATACAAGTTGCCCAGTTGTTTTCTAGAAAAGTTACCAATTTTTATTCCCTTTTACAAGACATAGGACCATTTCCTTTTCCATCTTCAACCCTGGGTATGACGAACAAAACAAAACAAAAATGTTACCAACTCAGTACATGAAAAATAGAACCTAATTTCTGTTCAGTATTTTCATGTTTCCTGGTATTCTGCTGTGGATGTGCTCACTATGTCCGTAGTTCACTTTGATGAGGGGTGGGAGAGGCTCACTACGTGAGTACACTGGCTTTATGGTGTAGTGGGAGCCAGGTCTTTCAGGGCCCGTGTCCCCTAGGGGTGATCATCAGAGTTTTGGGCTTTGGAGCTGAGGGATTAGACCCTGGAGATAAAAAAAAAAAAGAAGAAGAAGAGGCATCTCATTCTACCTTTCAAGTCTTACCAACATGCAGACTCTCTGGACTGTAACACTCTAAATTATCAACTCAGCTGGGCAAAAAGTTGAAGAGTTATAACAAAAAAGCTACAAGGCGGGTATTTTTCACTGTGCATTTAAACAAACCAAGGCTTGGTGATATGAAGTATCCAAATACTCTTATAAAGCTAAATGGTAGAGCTGGGCTCTAATGGTAGAGCTGCTGTTGTACTGACTCAAAGTTTTTAGCTACTTGCCCTACTGCCTCCACATTTTAGTGCAGTGGGTGTGTTTCCAGAGGAAGAAGAGGAGATCAAGTGAACATAGACACCCCTTCCAGCCTGTCCACCCACAGTGCCGAGTTTACATCCCGCCCCCTCCCTTGCCAGGGACTGCTGCTGGTGGAGTGGTGACTCTTTGGCATGTGCCTGCTTAGATTACCCACCCAGACGAGAGCGGTGGAAGTAAGCCTTCAAAACCCCCAGCAGCCAGCGTGGCTCAGCAGTTGAGCATCGGCCTGTGATCCAGGAGATCAAGGTTCGATTCCCAGTCAGGGCACATGCCAGGGTTGTTGGATTGATCCCCAGTAGGGGTCATGCAGGAGACAGCTGATCAATGACCCTCTCTTATCATTGATGTTTCTATCTCTCTCCTTCTCCCTTCCTCTCTCTGAAATCAATAAAGACATATTTAAAAAACAAACAAACAAACGAAAACCCCTTTTGTGGTTTGCGGAGATGTGTGTACAAATTAGCTTCTCTGAGTCTCACTGTGCCTTTTTATTTTCCAGATAAAGAATCTCAACCGTGGTTTTGCCAAACTGAAGGCATTGGTGCCATTTCTTCCTCAAAGCAGGAAGCCTAGCAAAGTTGATATTCTTAAAGGTGCAACTGAATACATACAAGTTCTCAATGATGTTTTGGAAAGAGCCAAAGACTCTGAGGTAAAGGTTTAGGAAATTAGAGCAATGCTATCTATTGTTTATATTGCCCTTTGTATGTGCCAGGCAACTTATGTATACGTTCCAGTTAGTTTGTAACAATCCTCTGAGTTATTTATGGTCCTCATTTTACAGAGGAAGAAAACAAAATACAGTTATAAGTCCACATGGTTCAGAAATGCCCAGAGTGGGGATTGAGTCCAGGTCTGTGTGAGATTTGAAGCCAAGTCCCTAACCATCTATGTACTTACCTCCTGTCACTATCCAGTGCCCTGAGCTCCTAACTGCTGAATTTTTAATAGGACCTTGACAGCTGGGTCCATAAACCCACACTATGGTGGTGGCTTCTCTTCAGCAAGAAAAACATCAGATAGGACACAAAGGAAGAGGCATTTCTGTCCCCAAGGGGTCTCCCTTGGGAGAGGCCCTCCCTAAGGGACAACCCTGCTGGAGAGCATAGCAGTAGTGTGGTGATGCCAATCAAATGAGCCTTCTTTGCAAACTGTGAAGCACCAGAGCACCACCACTGTTATCAAGCTGCACAGCTCAGAAGTGTCCATTGGGCAGTGGAAGGTATGGATTGGTTTTATGGGCTCAGTCCATGGAGAGGCAAACCTTGAAGGCCTGAGAATGGGTTAGTCATCAGAGGAGATAAACTTCGAAGATAGGAAAGGCCTTAGAAATGAGCCCTAAGTGACATCATTGACAGGAGGAAGGAGGAGCCATCAGAGAGAAGGTGGCAAGAAGGTAGTAGAGAAGCAAGATGGGTCCTAAGGTCAGAGATGGAGAAATCTTGAAAATCTGAGGGGTGGGAGAAGGTAGACGCCAGGAAAGGCAACCAGGCCCAGCATTTGAGATGTGAAACTAGAATGGACTAGGAGTCAGCTGGTAGGGAGTTGAGGGTGTGTTGTTGCTAACACTCTGGAGTCTAAGCAGAGGGAAGAGCCAACCTGAAAGTCCATTCAACCTGCAAGTCTGAGACCTTTTCACGGTGGGTTTTTTCTTGCCCACTAGTTCTAGTTAGGCAGTGACTGGGAGGATACATGCTGCAGTGGTGGGAATGGATTGTCCTATTGGCCAAATTGGATGGTTGGGTTTAGCATGGTCACAGTGTTTGCAAATGTGCAGGTCGCTGCCTTAGTTTTTTTCTTGCATGTTTATTGTGTAACAGAAGTACTCTGTTTTGTGCTGTGTTCATTAAAATACAGGATCTGTTCTGTGTTGCTATAGTATTTTTAATCTACAACATTTTAAAGTTATAGATGAACAAAAAAAACAGTCTATTGAGGAGTGATCTTTCTCTCCATGACTTAAGCATTGCCCTTATCACTTAAATGAAATTTTGTCCATTAAGACTTGGAAATATATTGATTTAAATCTTCAAAATCTGTCATACTGTTTGACAACTAAATATGGTTTCTAGAAACAATACCCACATCATCAGAACTATATCAATAATACTTCTGAGCCACATATATCCATGGCTAAAGGGCTATTAAGAAACAACACCCAACATGCTAGCTGTGCTGTGGGCTTGAAGAATGAGGCGGCAGGGCCCTGGGCAGGTGGTGGCAGTAGTGAGGCGACATACGCTTGTTGCCAGAGCATGATGTCTACAACTGAAGTTATCTCCCCAACCAGGAGTCTGGTAAAGTGTTTCTTAAGTTGTAATATAGATGTAAAAAAAAACTCTAAATGCTTCCCTTGAGGTGTGTGGTGTTTTCCATGCTGAACCATGATTGAAACAAGATTATTTTGTCAAAGCACCTAGGTGGGAAGTAGAATTTGCTAGTTTGGAAGGTCTATTATTATGTCCCCAAATTAACTGGTAAGCAGCCCAAGTGGAAGGCAGCTCCTCCAGAATCACTTATAATAGAACTAAGCTTATTTTTTAAAAAAATATATCTTTATTGATTTCAGAGAGAGGAAAGGAGAGGGAGAGAGAGAGGTAGAAACATCAATGATGAGAGAGTCATTGATCGAGCCCACAACCGGCCATGTGCCCTGACAGGGAATCGAACCCCGATCGCCTGGATCCTAGGTCGACGCTCAACCGCTGAGCCACGCCCGGCTGGGCTAAGCTTATTTTTTATGACCCTAAATAGTACATCAAAAGATTTTTCTGGATTCTGAGGTCTCTAGAAAAAGAAATAAGTACTAGATTGCCATACATAAAGTTGCATTGTGATAGCATATACAAACATGCACATAACATTCACACACACACTTACTTGCATGTGCACACACACAACTTTTTAAAAAATTGGCCTTGTTATTAGGTAGCATTTTCTAAGCAATAAAGGAGTTTATTGTAACAGCTCTTATTACTCTGCCAAGCTAACAAAGTCACTCGAAACAGCAGCCTGCTTCTGTAAGTCTAGAAAGTGGAATTCTGGCCCTTGCTGTGTCTCAGTGTTACACAAACAAAACCCCCTGCTCCATACTACAACACGATTGCTATTGAAATAAGAAAGGCTTGGCGGAATGTGGAACTAAAAGTACTGTAACAAGCAAGTTGCTAAATCTGATGTAAGAGACAATGGGGACTGTGGAGTCAAATAGTTGGCAGTGTGAGGCAGTTTCAAATAGTAGTTGAGTGCAGACTTTGGAGACAATGCTGAGGTTCAAACCCTGGTTCTACCACTTGCTAGCTGTGTGACTTTGGATGAGCTACTGCATCTGAATCTCTCCTGTCCTCAGTTTCCTCATCTGTAGAATGGGAATGATAATCCCATTGCACGTAAGATAACTGTGAGGTTCACATGGCATCATGTCAGTAAAGTGTCTCCACAGTACCCAACGTCATTGTTGAGTTGGACATACATTACTGAGTCTGCTTGACTCACCACGAGCAATCAGTATTGATTGGTGAGCAATCAACAGTGAGCCACAGGCACTTTAGCTCTGTCTATAGCAAGTGTTCTGGGTTTTCTCATTTGACTCTCACCAATGCTCCACTCTGGTTTAAGGTCTTATAGGCTTCCTGCTAACTGGCTGACCTTGGTTCCCATTTCTGATTTGATTACTCATTTCTAAGGATTCCATTTGTGCACATGCTCTATCTAGATTTTCAAATTCTGAGCCATTCGAGATATAAACCTTCCCTTGCCAGTTAACCCTTAGGAGACAGAATTTCTGTTGCTACTACATGAGCTGAGAGGAAATGACTGAGAACAAAAGAAAAGAGTGCAGATGTGACCTGAACTGAAACTTGAACCTGGCTATCTAAGTTAACAATAGTAATGCTTCCACAAATGTAAGTTTTAATATGTACTAGATATTAAAGCAAGAATCTTACTTGCGTTTAATCCCCACTGATCCTTACCAGGTAGGCATCACCATGTCATTCTCACGGTGAGCTCCCTGGCTGTTTGTTCCTGCCAGTCCTGTTGGGCCTTGTAGCAGAACAAGCCTATGTTGGCAACACCAGCAGCAAAGATGTATAGGAGATCCATATTTTCCAAGGATAAGTCATCCTGGATATTGAACATTTATAGTAAATCAATTTAGTAGGAAATCATTTTTAGTAGGAAACAAAAGATTTGATTGGAAATTTCTTTCAAAAAGGGAATGAGACACTTAATTTTTAGTCTTTTAGCTAACCAAGTTTAAGTTGTTAGTTGGAAGAGTGTGCTAATTCTTTGAATGAGCAAAGAATTAACCAATAAACTTGAGATTATTTTATATATGCATATAACTTCTGTCAAGTGTGGCTTCTAAGGCCTGAATGTAGAGTGTCATTTTTTTTTGTGTGATAGTGTTCTAATATTTCATCAATTTTGTCAAGGCTTTCTCATTCTTTGATGTTCAAATCATTTTAAAAATAAAAACACTTATTCTGAAACAATAATCCACTTATAGAAAGGTTGCAAGTATGGTTCAAAGAATTTTTTTCCTGACCCATTTGAGAGTAAGCTGCGAATGTGAAGTTCCATTTACCCTTCTTCTTGTCCTCAGAGAGGACCTGAGGAGTAGACTCCTGATGCCGGCAGAGATGGTCATTTTTGGGGATGGGGTCAGAACAGGCTGTGCCAGATCAGCAACATTCCCAAGAGGCAAAATCCCNTTGGGGATGGAGTCAGAACAGGCTGTGCCAGATCAGCAACATTCCCAAGAGGCAAAATCCCAAACGAAGTACATAAGAATCTGCTGATGGCAGGGATGGAGATTAACTTCTTGGGTGAGGGTAGGTTCACTTGGGGACTGAATCAGCAAGTATGTGCGTGGATGGAGGGGGCCGTGGGCCATGTGAAGCCACCGCATCTGGCCTTGGTGGGGATAGAGATTAAGGTCAAGGCTCAAGCAAGTTTCATTTAGAATTAGATTTCCAGGTGTAAGATTTTGCTGTTTTGGAGTGGGCATTGCTGGGTGGCAAGATGTTCAATAAACTACCATTGTTTACTCCTATTTGTCACCCATGGCTGTGTCTTGGGTATTTCACATCACACCAAAGCTCTGAATTTTGTTCAGAGTTGCCTGTGATCCTGTGGAGGCTGTGTCCCTGGACAAAGACCACCCTCTGGTGGAGTGAAATGCCAACTGTGCTGGGTCAGAGGGGCTCTGGAAAGAGAGATGTAGATGAGCATACTGTCTATTATGAGGCCCAGATGTGTCGCCACCAGACACTTCTAAATGTTGGCCTGTTCTGGCAGCAGTTCTGGGAAAGAGCGGCTGAGAGAAGGAAGCCTGTGTGGGTGGTAGATTTCTGCTGCCTCCTCTGCAGGCTGTGGTAATCTCTGTGTGAAATTAATCACTGGGAACATTTCTTCTAATGGCATTTTAAGCTCTGAAATGAGATGGTCTGGCTAGTTGGGGTGAATTTATAAGCACCCAGGGGAAGCCCAGAAGCATCTATATTCTGTCTTCCCTCTCACATTTCCCCCAGGTCATGGCGATGTGTTTTAGCAGAAGTCCTTCCACAGCAGTGGGGTAGGTCTAGGCTTTTCCTTAGGAAGCTCTTTTGTCTGCCACAGTGCTCACAGGTAGCCCAGGGGCCATATTCTGATAAGTTTAGACAGTAAAGTGTTTTAAAAAGCTGAACTTCCCTTTTGATGGGGAGAGTGTTCTCTGGTTTGTTGATCCCTACCACCCCTTATTACCTCACTAGCTTAGGCATTTAACCTTGCAGCCCTGGACCAAGGGCACTGAGGCTCAGAGGGAAGGCTGTGCCAGTGGTTGCATTTGGCTCTGGGATGTTATTGTGTCTCCTGGACTTTGGGGGTTTAGGGTTTGGTGCCATGATGATACAGATGGTGGTCATTCTCTGTGGGACATTGGAAGGGTAAGATATGGGACATGCAGGATGGGATCCATCTCACTCTGGAGTGATGCCACCTCTGACGGAGGATACCCCAGGTTGCAGCTACTCAGGAAAAGATGCAGCCAGCACCCAAGGAAGACTCTTAAGGCCAAATCTGATTAAGATAAAAAACAATGTTAGAGGAAAGACAAATTTCTATTTCTTTGTGAAAATAAGAGAGGGAGTTCTTTTGTTGGAACTCAAATTTTCTATGGGTACAGAAGGTTGAGTTAATCATAGAAGTGGGTTTTGGTGTGTTGTGTGTGCATGCTTGTGTATGTGCGTGAATTTTGGTGTGTTTGGCAAGATCTCTACCTGGTTTGTGTTCCTAATCCTGTCAGTGAGCATAATTTGAGAAAGCCAATAGTTTCTTTTCTATTTCTCTGACATATAATGGGCCTGGTGGTTAAATTAATTAAAGTCCTCACCTATTCTAATGGACTTCTTGAAGGAATATTTTTGAGTTTTATAAAAGGTTCCACGTGTATATAGAGGAGAATGGCAAGAATTGGAGGAAAGTTTCCCTCAAAAGTAGAGGCAGGACTTCTCTGATGTGCTGCTGACCTTCTTTGGAAGACGACGCTTTGGGTTAGCAGAAAATCAAATGCTAGGACCACCTGAGCTAGCACCTGAGAGAGGTCAGTGTGTTCTTCCAACCTCCACCACCCACTTTTCCCCTTTATTCTAATTCCAGGTTATCCAAAACAGATCAGGGATAGAATGGGCTCCAAAGACACAGTATTAAAGGTAGTTCTTCTAGTGGAAGGGTAAAGAGATTTAAACACAACTCAATTATTTTTAGGAGCTCTTCTGGTTCTCGTTGATCACTTTCTTCCTTTTTGGAGGATCTTTCCTTCCAGGAATGTGTCCTTCCAACAACTCTGTTGTGGAAGATGAGCCTGGTGCACCTGCTTCCTTGGAGGTGCTCCGAGATGAGAGGAACCAAGTTCCCCTGCAATTTGGACCAGGTCCCCAAGGGAAGAGACAGACTACATGGGGCTTGGTGGTCAAAGCCCTGCTTATTATAAAGGAGCTTAATTTGCTGGAAGATTATCTGAATGGCTCTTCCTCCAAACATGAGATGGTGGGCGAGGCTATGGCCACAAGGCTGTGTACTGCTCTCTGGGTCCTGGCTGGGCTTTCACACACTGAAGCAAGATTGACAATTATGAGCACAATTTAGATGGGAAGAAATGTAACTTACTTTCTAAAATGTACTATGCTTATTCTTGAGAGCCCAGTAAGACCGTTATGGCTCAGGTGATGGAAAAACTCTTTATCTTATCCCATTAAGGTCCGTTGTCTTTGAGTAAATGCAGAATCAATTCAGTGTTAAGAATCGCTATGGAGGCTCTTTGCTTCTTAAGTGATCTCCCCCTCCCCCATTCCTCCTCCTCTGGGTACAGTGAGGATTGTACCTTTGCACCATAGAGGCTGGATAAAAGTGGTTGTGTGTTTTCTTTTCTTTGATCCCAGCTAGTCCTCTGGCCCCTAGTCTTGGGTACTGCTGAGCCGACATCTGCTGTGAGTGTCTATGGCCCACCACTGTGACTCTCTCCTCTAGACCAGACTTGCCGGACCTTCTGCATTCAGAACCCAGGCCTCTTCTGCCTCCCTGGCTTTACCACTTTCAAATGGACTATGAGGCTGCCCTCAGGCCCATGAACCCGGTGATGTCCCTCAGCCATGTGGTCACTAAACAACTCTGAGGGGTTACATCCTGAAAAGTGGGCACAAATCTTTGCTTTCTACAGATTCTACTTTAAATTTCTTGGGTTCTATTACCTTTTATAACTCTTCCTCATTCCTGGTCAAGGCCCAGGATGTCACGGTTCAGGGGCCTTTCCCAGGGATCAGGCAGCTTCTACACAGTAGCTTCATCCCTCCTGAATAACTATGACCTGCTGTTTCGACCTGCATCTCATTTCTAGTTGTAGGAAATCTTCACATCATATCTTGCCTCTTCCCTGCTCTGTGGCTACCTGATGAGTGGCCATCTAAGCTCTGGCCCACCATAACCCAGACGTTTATTCTCCCTTTCAACAAAGTCAGCTCCTTCCAAATGAGAGTCTTGCTTTCCAGACTCTTGTTAACCTGGGAACTGAATTCTAAAGCTGAGTGAGTGAAGACTTCTGGTGGGTATCTCTCTATCGCTGTTCCCCATCCCAACCTCCAAGCCTTGACTCAGTGGATGGAGGGAAACGTACATCGGATAATATGTAAAATCATCCAGCTACACAACCAACAACAGGAGTGCACCTGCCTTATTAGAGGAGTTGAGCAGCAAGCTAGGTTTCCATTCCTCAGACCATGCTCTCCTTGGTCCTTTAACTCCTTGACTTAGATGAGGCCAACAGGCATTTTTTTCAATGCGTTGTGAGAATATTACAATGCAATATTAATAAACTTTAAGTTTTCATATTCTGATACTTAAGAGTTACCTGGAAAATTCCAGGAAGGTAATATTTAAGACAAAAAGAAACTAAGACAATCTATAACATACTAGACTGTAGGCTGATAAGATTAAATTATCCTTTAACCCTTCTGGTAAATACAATAAACAAATCTCATAGGTTTAAAACATTCTAGATATGTAAAAACTTTTTTAAAAACTTTAAAAAGAAAATGTCTAAAGATAAATTTCAACTCAAGAAAAGAAAGCTTGATCACATATAACCAAAAGGCTTGATCAAAGTCAGGAAAAAAACAGTTATTGATACTTACATTGTGCCAGGCACTGTTCCTGGCCAATTGTGCCTATTAACCTATTAGTTTTTGTAATCAACTTGTGATGTACAGACAATTATATCCATTTTACATGTCAGGAAACTAAGGGAAGGAAGTTTAAGTAATTTGCCCAACATTCATTGAGTCAATGGGATGTGCGCAATACTGTTAAATTCTTTAACTGCCTTTCATTCTAACAAAACTCACCCTGGAAATGTGAATGAGAGTGGGCTCAAAAATAGATAAAAAACTTTAACCTAAATTAAAGCGTTTGGTATTTTATTATCCACAGTGATACACATCTGGGTTCTAATATACAAACTGACCATAATTTGAGTGACTTTATTTTTTAGTCATGCATTTGTTTTTTTCAAGTCAAGATTTCAGAAAATTGAGAAGGCACAGCATGATCTTAGTAACACCACTGATGGAAATATTGTAAAATGCTTTCAGATATGTCTCCTATACGGCTGAATTAAGACATTCTCACAGGGCAGATAACATCGTGCGTCCTGCTTTTCCTTATTCTATCATTGGCAAGTTAAGAGGTTAACATACAGTCTTTATTATATAAAGTTTTAATTGCTCATTAAATGGGACAGTTTTCTAATTGTCAGACATTTAAGTTGCTTTCAGGTTTTTGTTCTCATAAACATGACAAATAACCTGATGTGTTTCGTTCTTTCTGTATTTTTTTTAAGGATAGATTTCCAGAAGTAGAACTCCTGAGCCACGGTAGGTACGACCTATGACTTGATGCATGGTGCTAACTTATAATACTGTCAGCTATATGAGAGTGCTGAGTTCATCATATCCTTGCCTAGAGTGGAATCTATTAAAATGATAGAATTTTAGCCCAGGTGGTGTGGCTCAGCTGTTGAGCATTGACCTATGATCCTGGAGATCAAGGTTCGATTCCTGGTCAGGGCACATGCCAGGGTTGCAGGCTCAATCCCCAGCAGGGGGTGCAGGAGGCAGCTGATCAATGACTCTCTCATCATTGATGTTTCTATCTCTCTCTCTCCCTCTCCCTTCCTCTCTCTGAAATCAATAAAGATATATTTTTAAAAAAAAAGATAGAATTTTAATGGGTAAAAATGGTGTATTTAAATTCAAACATCTTTGATTACTAATGAAATGAACAACTTTTTAGATATTTCTTTTGGGAACTGTCTCTTCTTATTTTTAGCCATTTACAATAAACTCTCTTTTGTGTTTCAGGTTCCCCCAAGTATGAAAAGTGAAAAAGCTGGTCCAGGCCTATGTTCTGCAGACAAATAAATGCAGTTTTTAAGGTTTGGGAGTCTAAAATTTTGTGTGTGTGATCATTCAAAGTTTACAATTACCCTTTAAATGGCCTTGCTTGTTACAAACCTACTCAGCTCTACTTTCTCCTTAATTTCATGCTCTGAAGAAATAGGCTTCAGGGCCTTCAGCTTTCACTCTTATTCCTCAGTCACCCAGGAGGTGTCTGTCCTCACCCTCTCGGGTCCTATACCTAATGTCTTTCATCCCATCTGTTTCCATCACTTGAGGAGTAAGTGACTGTTACCCTTCCTGGGGAAATTAACCTTTAAGAGGAATACAAATTAAGCTTGAAGCATGTAACTTGAGGAATACAAATTAAGCTTGAGTTGTAACTATTAGCCAACGGGAGTGAGCCTTGTCAGGGTTATCTCAAAACCTAGTTAAGGCCACAGGAAACCTTTGTGCAAGTTAGACACTCAAGCACCTTGAGCATAGAGACAGTCTTTGTCTTTACAACACTTGCTCAAAGAGACATAGCACTTAATATATTCTGGGCTCTATCCCCCATATTTTACCCATGTCAGCTTTTTTCATGACTGTCCTAATAGGTGGCCACGATTATCCCTGTTTTACCGATGGGGGAAAGGAGGTAAAGTCATATACTAGTCAGCTTGGGCTGCCATAAAAAATACCATGGCCTGGGTGGCTTACACAACAGAAATTTATTTCTTGAAGTTCTGGAGACTGGGAAAGTTAAGATCAAGGACTGGAAGGTTTGGTTTCTGGTGAGGATGCTTTTCCTGGGTTGCAGATCGCTGCCTTCTTTCTGTGGCCTCACATGATGGAGAGCTAGTGGGAGTGAGCAAGCTCTGGTCTCTCTTCCTCTAATAAGGACACTGATTCTATTGGATTAAGGTCCCTCCCTTATAACCTCATTTAACCTCAAGGTTTCCAAATAGTCACATTGAGGGTTAGGGCTTCAATGTATGAATTTTGGGGGGACACTTCAGTCCATAGCATTCTGTCCCTGACTTCCCCAAATTCATGTCCTTACCACATGCAAAATACATTCATTCCATCTCATCAGCCTAGAAGTCAACTCATTCCAGTCAACTCGAAAGCCTGGGGTCCAAGGTCTCATCTAAGTGTCTAATCACTGTGGTATGACTCTGGGTATGATTTATCTGGAGGCAAAATTCCTCTCCAGCTGTTACCCTGTGAAACCAGACAAGCTATGTGCTTCCAAAATACAGTGGTAAATAGGCATAGCATAGACATTCCCATTCCAAAGGAGCCCTGGGTTGGCAGTGTCACCCCTCCCCCTGCCAACACACACACACTCTTCTCTGCAGTGGTGGCCCTGCCCTTTGAAACCGGGAGGAAACAGATTTGCCTCCTGAGCTTGTGGTCAGAGCAGCAGCAGCAGCCCTGATGATCTCTGAATTGCCTTTGGGGTCTTTCTCTTTCCTTGCATGTTTACAACCAGACAGCTCTATGGTCTGCTTCTGTAGAATCCAGGAAGTTCAACACCTGCCTTCATTCTGTCCTGTTTTCCCTGTCACCGTTAGTTCAGATTGGCAGTCTTTGCTGGTATAATCCCATCTCTATTCCTGGTCTCTTCTGAGATGGCTGACTAAGTCTAGGAGTTGTACCCATGACCTCTTTATTAAATGGTGTCTAGCTATACCCTTAATGCTCTCTTCAGAACGAGCTTTCCTACTTTCTGCAATATAGGTAGGCTGAGAATTTCCCAAATCTCCAAGTTTTGGTTCTTTCCTTCCTCTTTTATTTTATTATAAGCACTAAGAAGAACCCAAGTTGTACCTTCAACATTTTGCTTAGAAATCTCCTCTGCTAAATATCTAGTTTCATTCCTTGCAAGTTCTACCTTCTACAAAACACTTAGAACACAATTTAGCGAAGGTCTTTGCCACTTTATAATAAGGGTTGCCTTTCCTCTGGAGTCTGGGGCTTCTCCACCAACTGCATGTGTGGACTTACTGCCCTGCATGGTTCTTCCCCCATGTGGTTGGAGTTACAGTTGCTGGTTGTCTCATTTTAATCAGTAATAAGACTGTAAGTACTTTCATTTGGTGTTCTATTTTGTCTGCACAACAGCCTGGGTGGTGGGAGACTCGTAGTTTCTAGGGCTGTCATCACAAAGTACCATAGACTAGGTGGCTTGAACAACAGAAATGTACCTGAGATGGAGAGATCAAGGTGTCAGCAGGGTTGGTTTCTTCTGACGCCTCTCTCCTTGGCTGTAGATGGCCGTCTTCTCCCTGTGTCTTTATGTGGTCTTCCCTCTGTGCCAGTCTGTGTTCATGTTTCCTCTTCTTATATAAGGACACCCATTTTACTGGATTAGGGCCCACTCATATGACCTTTTTTATTTTCAAAGATTTTTTTTTTTTTAAATCCTCACCTGAGGATATTTTTCCATTGATTTCTAGAGAGAGAGGAAGGGAGAGAGGAGGTGGGGGGAGAGAGAGAGACATGGATTGGTTGCCTCCCACATGTGCCTGGGCAGGGACCAGGAACCTGCAACCGAGGTACATACCCTCAACTGGGACTTGAACCCTCGACCCTTCGGTCCTTGAGCCGAAGGTCTAACCACTGGGCTAAACTGGCTAGGGCATGACCTTAATTTTAAAATTCCTTAATTATCTCATTAATTATCTCTTTGAAGACCCTATCTCCAAATAAAGTCATATCCTGAGGTACTAGGGGTTAGGACTTTAAAGATTTTGGGGGAACACAATTTAGCCCATAACAGAGAGTAAGCACTGTTGCCCTCACTTTACAGCTGGGAAGTGAGGCCTTGGGGTCAGGGTCTTTTTTGAGGCCACATAGTGGAATGGAGACTACAGCCCCAGGCCTTGGACCCCCAGTTCTCTTTCTATAGCAAGCTTTGGCTACAGGATTGGCTGAACCTCCACTTGTTGGGAGAGTGGGGTCTTCAGGAGATCTAGGCTTAGAATTTATCATTGGTCTTGGTCTGAAAGCACTGTCTCCCTCCCCCCCCATCTCCTGTCTTAAGTTGGATTCCCCTGAAAGTAGGCCATGATTTGTAGTTTACTCAAGGAAAGGAAACACCAACAGGGGAGTGGGAGAGCAATGCTGGGAAGGAAGCAGCCTATGAAAGATGCATGACTGAGCAGGTTACTGCAGTGGGCAGCTGGGGCTCAGTCCTGCTGAGGCTCTCTGGGAGACCGTGTACAACATGCCACAGAGGTGTCCTCCCAACACCTAGGTTGAGGGAACAGGGCTGTTTATCCACTAATTTCTGATGGTCAGTGGTTGAGAGCTGCACCCCTGGAGTGTCAGTTCCGCCAGCACCTCCAGCACACCCTGGGGAAGGCCGCTGATAAGTATGCCTGGGCCTGGAGAGTGCAAAGGCGTGCTATTAGTTATCTACTGCTGTGTAACATTACCACGGACTTAGCAACTTAAAACAACACATTATCTCACTGAAGTTGAGCCTGAGCATGGCTTGGTTGGGTCCTCTGCTTCAAGGTCTGTCTCAAGGCAGAAATCAAGGTGGCAGTCTGGGCTGGGGTCTGAGCTGAAAATTTGGCTGGGGAAGGATCTGGCCAGATGTCACCCTCAGTTCCTTGACACATAGGTTTTCCTAACATGGTTATTTGCTTAATCAAAGCATTCAAGCCTAGAAAACAATCAGAGAGTCAGCCAGCAAGATGAAGAATCTTATGTAACACAATCACAGAAGTGACATCCCATCCCCTTTGCTGTAGTCTGTTAGGAGCAAGTCACAGGTCCTGCCAGCACCTAAGGGAAGGGAATTACACAGGGCATGAACACCAAGAGATGGGAACACCGTGGGTCTCTGTTACACTGCCATCTGCTCTCTTTACTATTGCTGGCCAGAAACATTTTTGTTAAGAGATTTAGAGATTAGGAATAATTTTATTGCAAATCCAGTCAGAAAATCTAATTTTAAATTGGCCACTGAGGCTAGCCAAATGTAATTTTCTGAGTCTGACATGGAGTCTCCTGTGCTTTCCTGTCCCTAGTTAAAAGCGAGGCATCTTGGACTCTCTATAGTGGGGACTCTGAATCCTGGGGATCTTCCTAGCACAGCCTGTGGAGCCAACTACAGTGATAGTTTCTTATACTGGATTTCAAAGTGATTTTGGACTTGAATGAGAGAGAACTTCAGGAACTTCAACTAAGCTATTACTATGGAAATTAACATAATAAAATCTTGCTTCCTGTCTGGCATTTGAACAATTCCTAAAGCCACAGGATGGTACTACTCTTCCCAGGACTCATAATATTCAGATGTCATATTCAGATGGCCTCTAGGAAAAGCTGGAAGGATTTTTATTTATTTATTTGTTTTTAGAGTCTAATGGCTAGAGGAGTAGAATAACTTTTTTGGGAAAAGGAAAGTATATCAGCTTTATCAAACTTTATTGGTGTCTTGAAGTAGTTCTGCTTTTTAAAGTCAGTATTTTGTCTCCTCTGAGAGGCCATGTACAGGGTAGCAGTTAGGGCTCACAAGCTCTGAATCCATAGTACTTGAATTTGAATTCAGGCACAGTCACCCACTAGCTGTGCAACCTTAGTCAAGTTACCTAACCTCTCTGTGCCTCAGTCTCTTTATCTGTAAAATGGGCTAATAACAGTACCACCCTCATAGAGTTCTTGTAAAGATTAAATGAATAAAAATGCATGTAAAGCCCTTAGAACAGTGGCAGGAGCCAACAAGAGTTTGCTATTAGTTTGAGACAGCTAAATAATACACCAGGAAAAAAATTTTGAGTGATGAGAATTTATGAAACCTGCTATTTGTGGACTAAACAAAAATTCTCTACTCCCTTTTTGGGTTCTATTTCAGAAAAGGGTCCACCATTCCTGTGATTTCAGGGCTCTGGAGGAGGCGTTCCTGACTTCCCAGATATTATCGGTCCATAATGACAATGCACAGCTACCTAAAGCGTGTCAATAAACGCACCACTTCCTGGTTCTGGCCAGACAGACCTTGGGTCCTGGTGGTTGAGCTGCTTGTAATTCTAGCAGATTTTGACATAAGAATGGGGAGAAAGCTTGTGGACTTAGTGATTCTGAAGATGAAATGAGAATGAGTGGGAAGCTCTGAGAGGGGGAGGGGGATGTAGAGGCTGGGGGATGAAGGGATTGGAGGAGCTAGAGCAGAAAGACACAATTAGCTCTGGCACCTGAATGGAATGCCTGCCAGTTGTTCGAGGGTTGCCGTGCAGGGCATGCTCTCTTTTTTACATCAGTAGTAGCTTGCATAGAGTGGCATTTTTTAAAATGCTAGTGCGCAAAGGAATCACTAGGGATGCTTGTCACTAATACCAATTCCTGGGCTCGCCTCCAGAGATTCTGATTCTGCAGCAGTGCTGTGGTGGGGTCTGGTGATTTTTATGGGGGTGTCTAAGGGCTGTGGTACCCCAGAACCTAGAAGGAGCAGAGGGGCCATAATCTTGTTGGGGGGAGTGACCAGGGGCTTTTCTGGAAGCAGTGCTGAAATCACATTTTTAGAAACACTCGCAATAAATGTTGATTTAGGGGAGCTTTGGGGAGCAGGTGGAGACTACTGGGGTCTAAAGTCCCAAGCTGCCACTTGATGTCCCTACTCTCTGAGAAATACTGTCAAGAGTATTAGAAATGGGAGGAGCCTTAAGTACTATTATTTTACAGAGGAAGACAATAAGGCCCAGAGTGGTTAAGTGACTTCATCCAAGTCACACAGCTAGTTAAGACTGTGGTTTGAGACTGTGACCAAGTATTCTGGTTCTCCATCAAGTTCCCCATTTGCTAAATACCTGTTTCCTCTGGGGGGCTGAGGGGTGAGAAGAGGAGGTAATGAGAATTGGAGGGAGCTGGATCCATAGCCCCAGGGGGTAGGGCGCTAACAAAAATGTTGTTCTTTTCCGGAGCAGTCAGAATCAGAATAGGGATCATTTTGGCTTGGGATTCAAACAGTCAGACAATTGCTGTTAAGATCATCAGTAGCGTTATCTCCTAAAGACAAGATGTCCCTCCTAGACAAGAAATATTCCAAGTGTAAGACTTTTTCTAATTCCCAGGGCGGTACTCACGTTTCAGATTTTCTTCCTAGTAAAAAATCCTCATATTGGCTCTCGGCTGTTGGGGCAGCTCGCGGGGTGGGTGTGGACGTGGGCAGAGGCCAGGCCCGCGGCGGCGGGAC